GACGTAAGCTTTGTGACAGAGTTTTAGCAAGTCTATATGTTTGACGCTTTGTGTTTAGTTGTTCACTGAATTGTTCGCGAAAGTTGTAGCAGAAGCGGTGTGCTTTCCGGACAAGAAGCCAATAATCCTCGGTTTCGCGCTCAAAAACCGATCAAGAGAGTGCGCCCTTCAGATCGCCGCATTCATTAGGACGAAGGTGTTGGCTTCTCTCGAAGGAGATGCGTCCGATTAATCATCGACAGGCGCTTTTGCTCGTGCCGTGTCGAAGCAAGTCCGCGTATGCCAGCAGCGTACTGTTGCCCCGTACCGCTTTCCAGGTGCACTTGAACGCCAATAAACGCGCTGAGCTAGACGCAACGTTTGCTGCATCTGAGCACTTGGACGCACTTTACGAGTGGCAGTTGCAACGGCCCGGTTGCAAGAAATCTTTTGTCCTGCATGACGGGCCCCCGTACGCCAACGGCAGTGTCCATCTCGGACATGCGGTGAACAAAATCCTCAAGGACATCATTGTGCGGTATAAATCGATGCGCGGATATGCCGTTCACTTCAAGCCAGGTTGGGACTGCCACGGTTTACCTATCGAACTACGTGCCCGGGTTGATTCTCCAGGTAATATTGAATATACGCTATGATTAAGGCATTAATTATACAATAATAAATATTGATAAAATAGTTTGCAAATGATCCGAAGATTCGGTAATCTGTTCATGCGTTAGTGATCATACTGAAAACGGAAAACGTATATAACGGTTAATGTTTACACAACGCCAGCAGACAAGTTGGTCATTTGAATGATTTAACAGTACCATCGCTTAGCCTTGTCTGTTGGAAACCTTCTTCAAAGTGGGTTGGGTTGATTTCCCCAGATGGTTCTGTGGTCCGCAGCTGTTGTGACATGTGCAGCCGAAGGTGTGCCCTTGACCCACCCTTTTGCTTAAGTTGTTTTTGGCAACGTAACTCTGCACGGATTGAACTAAACCGTCAAGCCCGTGACCGCAAAACCACTTAACCAGCAGCCGTCAGAAACGGTCCTCGTATCATGAGAACTGTCCTGAAGAGACACCTATCTTGACAGAAAAGCAGGAAGACTTAAGAACGAAAATTACTGAAACAGTTGAAAAGCATTGAACCTCTGAAACGTCTGCCAAGCCTCTAGGTTGTTCCAAGAAGAATGATGAAGAAACAGAATAATAATGTCAACTATGTTGTGCCAATGACTACTGCTCAAGATATTAAGAAGCTATTGTGCAGCACTGCATTGGTCATAAGAAATAAACTTGGAAAAGAGGTTGATGAGAAAAATAAAACAGTAAAGCAAAGAAAGCGAAATGGATGATTCGACTGTATCTTCGAACAACTGAATCTGTATTGCCCTTATAGACTTCATGAACCACCATGTTTAACGTCTTTTCAGAGTCGACTGCAATAGAGTAAATGGCTAATTTGTACCACTCATTATCACTTTGTTCGAGCAGCTGATTCGGTACTCGGAAGTAAAGGTGTCGTAAAATTTCAGTAGAATCCCATCTGCTCGATCTGCTTAATTCTCGATTCTGCTTAATTGATTTTATGGAACTTTCGTGAACAGCTCATACAAATAGAATAATCACCATATAGGTATGAATATTTTAAAGTTTTATGGGTCACATTTTTTGTTGGGCAGCATTGTTGGCGAGGATTTCCAGTCTTTTGGCGTTCTGCCTTGTTGGATGACATCATGGAAAATCTTTTAAAACTGGTTATAGCGTATTCAGTAATAAATTTTGAAAATTTGTTAATAATTTAGTTGTTTTTAAGCGGACTTGAGTCCGATGGAAATCCGAAAAAGTGCTCGAAAGTACGCTGAATCCGCAATGCACAGTCAGATGAAAGAGTTCAAGCGCTGGGGCGTATTGGCAAACTGGAAATCTCCATACTGTACCTTTGATCGTGAATACGAGGCGCGAGAAATCGAGTTGTTTCGACACTTATTCACCAATGGTTATGTATTTCGAGACTTGAAGCCCGTTTACTGGTCGCCGAGTTCGGCAACTGCGTTGGCAGAGGCGGAGCTCGAATATCGATCATCGCATTGCAGTACCGCGGTTTACCTTCGTTACCTGGTCATAAATTTTCCCAAGTCTGATTTCTCTTTACTGGCTGATTCGAAGGTGTGGGCCGTTATCTGGACCACTACACCGTGGACCTTGCCAGCGAACAATGCGATATGCTTTAATGACTCGATCGACTACGCTTTGTTGCGTATGCGCGGCATACCCCGAAGCGACGAAAATATATACGTGCTTGCAGTTGGTACGGTAGAACGTTTCCGGAAGGCGACCAGTCATGATGTGGAAATATTGGGCAACTTCAAAGGAGCTTTACTAAATGGTATGTACTATGTAAATCCTTTTTCGAACCATTACGCTCACCCTTTCTACGCGGCACAGCATGTGAGTGCTGAAAAGGGTACGGGGTTAGTGCACACGGCATTCGCGCATGGTTTCACCGACTTTTTGGTGGCACAGGACAATGACCAGCCAGTCGATTGTATGATCGATGAACATGGTCGGTACGTGAGGTCGCTAGGGTCGCTTCTGGACGGAAAAGATATTTTCGCCGAGGGTCAGCAAGCAGTGCTGCAGTTTCTAGGCAAGCACATATTAGCGCAGCACACTGAGGTACATTCGTATCCATATGACTGGAGGACAAAAAAACCGGTCATTATCCGAACGTCGACACAGTGGTTTATCGACACGTCACGTCTGAAGGACATAGTCTTCAAATGCCTTAGAGCGGTAAAAGTATTTCCTGATAATTTCGCGCACACTCTAATGGAAATCATCAGTCAACGCCCGATGTGGTGTATTTCCCGTCAGCGCGTTTGGGGAGTTCCGATCCCGGCGTTTTATGACACGGATACCGCCGAAACGATCATGACCGACGCTACAATTTCGCATGTTAGGGATATTTTCGAAAAGGAGGGAAGCGACAGCTGGTGGTTGAAGAATGTCGCAGATTTATTGCCTCCTTCTATGTATGATTCATTAAAAGGGCGACAGAATCATGTGCAAAAGGGCAACGATATATTTGACATATGGTTTGACAGCGGTGTTTCTTGGTACGCTTTTGATCGCGCAGGTAGCCGAACGGCAGACATTGTGGTCGAAGGCTTGGATCAGTTTCGGGGATGGTTTCAAAGCCTAGTGCTGACTGCTGCTGGGTACTCCGGAAACAGCCCCTATAAGGCGATTTTCGTTCATGGGTTCGTGATGGCCGCGGAAGGGGAGAAGATGTCAAAGTCTACCGGAAATGTTATTGAACCGGACCGTATTATTGCCGGAGGACCAGTCGCAGATATCGAGATGCCTCCGTTGGGCGTCGATGGACTGAGGCTGTGGGTGGCGTTGTACGGAGCCGGCAAAACCAACATATACATTGGAGCTGATATCGTTCGGCGTTTGCAGGAAAGCCTGGTTGGAATTCGAAGCATGCTGCGGTATCTGTTAGGTAACCTAGCTGATTTTCAAAGCGAACACACAGTCGACTATTCGTTGCTTCTGGTAACCGATCGTTACATGCTTCATCTACTATACATGTTCCTTAACACAACAGAAAGCCATTTTGATAGTTATAATGTTCAACGAGTCGCTGTCGATGTTATGAAGTTCTTAAATGGAGTCGTGTCCAACTTTTACATTGCAGCGGCGAAAGACCGTCTATACTGCGAAGCGAGATCTAGTGTCACGAGAAGAGCAGCACAAACAGTGCTCTCTGCCATATTGATGACGACCCTCAAGGTTATTGCTCCAATCATGCCGTACATGGCCGAAGAGGCAATCGATCACTTACCACGCTGCAGCAGCGCATCTGTATCCATTTTCAAATCCGGATGGCAGCTTCTGCCTGATGGTTGGAAAAACGAACGCTTAGCAGAAGACTTCATGTCTCTGTTAATGCCAATTCGTAATGATTTCATTTCTGCTTACGGTTTAACGAATACCATGAAGAACTGTTTACGAATCCGGGTGCCAGGGATGGCTAAAAAGGTGTTTGACAATTTTTACAGTGACAGTTACTGCGCCCGGTCCGAACTTGCTGATTTGTTTAAGGTGTCATTGGTTTGTGTAGACTCAGATGACGCTATACAGACGTATGCTTATGAAGTTTCAGATAGCGAATTGGGAGCATGCGAACGCTGCAGGAAATATATATGCAAATCCGGACAAGAATTATGTAAACGATGTTCTTGTGTAGTCAACGACTTAGGTCACTGAATACCTTAGTTTTTGTGAATTGAAATTTTTGAAAATATAAATTAAAAATATTTACATATGTCATCTGAATATATGCTGTTTATTTCCGCTGAGTCGCAAGTTCAGAAAAAACCTGCTGCCTTGCAAATCCATTGCCAAAACAACAACAGTTTTACGGTGGAAAGCGAACTATATTTTCACGGTTAGCTGCGATTTCACATTCCTCGACATCGAGTCGTCAATATTTCTTAAAAAGATATTCGCGAGTTAATTCGAAGGAAAGAAGTTAGATACAATATATTATTAGAAAACTGTATTTACTGAACTAGAGTAACAGGCCATGTACGCTTCGTATGTTACGCCGCATGATGTTTTGGAGTGATGAGTGGCATGACTGAGCCACGAAAGGACACAGTATATCCCGAGAGCGAAATTCCATGTTATGAGCATGGAAAGTCTTAGCGTCTCATCTCAATGTTATTAATGGCATGGTTCTGACATGACAGTTTAAAACGCGAAATGTTGCGTACAATGGATGACACCGACCGGCCATGACAACACCGCATGAGGAGCTGATGGGAGCGAGTTGCTAATCCGCAGTGTCGACAGATCTATAAAAAGACCAGCCCGACATTCTAGAGGATATAATAGCGATCACATCCCTGCGACGGTCTAGTTCACAGTTTTGCGACTTTCCGTTCACCCTCAATAAGGGTCTTTCACGTATATAATTCCCATCAATGTGTTGGATCAGTCCGGATTACTGTACTGCAACTATTATTTTTTTGTATTTGCCTCCGTTAAAGATCTTCCACACACCGTGACAAGCGAACCGGTAAGTTTATGCTTATAACGAAATACTGCGCCGCAACTTCGCCGAATTCACTGAACACTTTGAAGCGGCGGAGTGATTTCTTACGACGAATACTGAGGCGCCATGGTAAAAGATCTTGTTTTTCTTTTTACAAAAATAAGCATTACAAGAATGAACGTCGGGCATTCCCTACCTACTGCTAACTTCTCAATTGCCAATGTCAACTGTTTTAGAACGTCACCTTGACGCGATGAAAGAGCTAGCATGTATGTGTGATCCTGAAGGATCGCTGGACCGCTTTCGATAATGCAGTTCAAATGCCAGTAGGAGCAACAAATTAATTTTATTCTTAATAGAAAATTAAACCTAGTCAAGAAAATAAAATGCGGTGAGTGCCGCATTAAACACATTATTCAGGCTTAAATTCATATATTATATGTCATATGCTATAATGGCACATTACCATCTGCTGCCAAACTTACAGTGCGTAAAATCTTGAAAGATCTATAAAAATTCGGAAAAGCACAACCCTTAAAATGGCCGGCTAAAGGTTCTACTCCTTTTTCAACTTCTCAAATTTCGGATAGATGATTTTCCTTGACATGAAATACGACCACTGATGACGCTTCAAATAGAGCAGCACCATAGTTAGGAAGGGAAGCAGCAACAATACCTAAATAGTGACATTATAGCACAAAATAGTGCCCTGAGAAGTCTAATGATAACATAGTGCGAAAGTACATGAAAGTTGAGTAGAAAATTAGAAAAAGTTATAACAGTTTTTTTCAATACTTTATTTAAGAGTTACACTTGTTGCTTGCCAAGCTGCTGCGCGGTTGTAAGTCTCAGAAGTTCTAAAGTGTGGTATGACCAAACCACAACCTGCTGTCACAATTGTTATTTATGTTCATCGACCAGATACCACATTCTCGGTTGATTGTATCAAAGCAGAACGGAAAGGATGCAATCTAAGGCAATCCGGGCTAGTAAACCTACCTTTGTCCAGATAACAAATAAAACAAAACAGGCACTAATTTTTTGCTCAAGAAAATTACTAGTTTTCAACAATTTAGAAACATACAAAACAACAACTTCTCACCATGGTGCAATTTCTCGAGGCACTGTTCAACAATACTTTGTTAAATCACCTACTGGAGAAGTGAGAGTAAAACATTATCTTTGATTCTTACTTTCTTCAACTTATTTCTCAGTCGAATGCCAATGGAAACCGTGAAGTGGCATGCAAAATTACTTTCAACTGAGCTATGATACACCTACGATCACTGTCGCGTAAGGCTAAATAATTGCCTCTCATACTCAAATGAAGTAAATGGTCGCGTTTAGCCTATGTTCTAAAATTTCCTCCCGTTCAGAATGGCAACACATATGGTGAATTTTCATGGTTGTTCATGCCGTTTATTCGTAATAATGCAGTAAGAATATTTCGACCAACAGAACGTCAGTCTTCAGGATGTCAAACAATGGAAATAAATGTGTACACACTAAACATATAAGTTTATCGACAGGTTATACTACAACATTGTTACTGAACATTTGCTTATTATTTATAATTTAATCACACCACAGATATTTGAAATTACATGTCAATCTACATTAACTAAAATCAATGAGTTACTGACTTACATACAATTTTGAACAAGTGCCATACATGCCATACGCTTGTTTAGGCGCGTGATTAATCTGCTCATTCATATTCTTTTGCAATTAGTGTCCTAATTTATAGGCGGCGGTTCCAGTGATTCATCCAAAATGTAACCTAGTCTCTCTCCATTTCTATAAACTACACCTTTCTCTCAAACCTGGCTTTAAGAAGGGTACAGACGAATAACGAAGTGAAACTCAAAAACATTTACACATAACAAATAAGGTAGTAAATCTCAAGATCATGGAAATAGTTCTCAGAACTTTCAGTTATAAGGGAAGTCAGATACCTCTATAATGGAAACTGAACCTTAGATAGGGCAGAACGGCTTGAAGATAAAAATTCGCAAGAGCTTGAAATTACTGTTCAGAATGAATTGATCTCAAGCGGTCACACTGACAAGAACTTGGAGGCTCTTCACTTGGTAACAATAGCATTCCTGAAATATTGATTAAACGCAACGTCGACAGATCCGACTATTTCTCTGCGGATAGCAAACCGACTCATTGAAATCGTTATTTAAATACTTCCTTCTACAGCACTCAATCCGTTGTTACTAACATCATTAAAACGCGCGAGTTTCAGAGCCTTCAAATGTTGCAATTATTCTGAAACCGATAGAGAAGTGCTTGATTCAGTCTTAATACATTCATTCGATTCACTGACATCTCTCAGAAATCAATTTCAGTAAATCTACCACTACATTACGGGATTAGGCCGTATACAAAATATATTAGATACAAGTTCTCCAACGCTTTGGATGATGCTCCATCCATCATCAGGGAGCGACATTACAGATATGAGGTTACTGTAAATGTCTACGTATTTAGGTACAAACTTTATTAGAGACTTTACCTCTGATAGTGAAAGTTGCCTTATAACTTCATTTCAATGCAAATATAATCCCACACCATTGTCTTTATCCATGCATTGACCTGACTGTATTACCAACGCTCCTTTTACCTATCGGTTTAGAAAGTTTCGCCCTTGGTGTATTCCATATTTCATTCATGTGATCCCATAACATGCAGTGTTGCTCTTGCATTGCAAGTTGCACGGCTGCTGAGTTCTTACCCAATTCCTGCTTCACCGCCAGTGAATCTTTTATTTGTCTTCGTCCTCTACCTTTCAGTGTTTGACCATCCAGACATAGATCGGCGAGCGCTATCTAATCAGGTATCTCTATTTCTTTGAGACCACACTCACAGGGTATAGTGTAGATCCAGCCTGGATGTTAATGGCTTTTGACGTGCATCAGCTGGATTCGTAATATTATGTTGGGATCTTAATGCTAGCCGTATTACGCACTTAGCGGCGATCCTCTGAAGCTTCGCGCTTAGACTTGGTACGTGTGGAACAACAGCGCTGGTGATGAAATCAGGTTTTGCTCTCTTAGCTATTTCGCACTCTTTCTTTGATGACTGCTTCTTTTATCAATCGTCCAGGGTAGCCACTGTTTCTGAGAGCTCTTCAGATGTAGACTAGTTCTTTTATGATACCAGTGTCGTCTGAGATGTAAACTCGAAGCATCTATTAACTAGAGTGACAGCGATGTGCTTCTTCACGCAATATGCATGATTTTAATAGAACGGCAGGAATTTATTAGTATGTGTTGGTTTGTGAAACACCCCAATAACGCACTTGTTCCCTTTACTCATGGAAACTCTATCACTATTCCGTATATTCATGGCATATCCCAAAAATAAAAGCAAGAATATATAGCCCTACTGTGTTCTTTTCTCAAGGCCTGACTGGGTTCTGTAAACTAATAAGTAAAGAAAAGCATCCTATTCTATTTAACGTCCTGGAGAATGGATTTATGCTACGAAGACTTTCAGAACATGAAAAGTTCGAATTGGTGAACAGCGATGAGCCATAGTGAACAATCATTCTGAACACTCCGGTTTCGTTTTCCCCTCCTTATGACATGGTCACGATCTTGATGATGAGCTGGTAATCAAAGAATCACTGCTCATTCTCAGCTAATAAGAACAAGCTGTGCAATGTTTGCCTAACTTCATTTAACATCGCTAAACCAGTATCTTACTGTAACTACATGAGTCTCAGCATACGCTGTAACATCCGTTGCTCGCTTTCTGTTTCAAAGGCCGCTGCTCTGTAGCCAAACCATTGATAACTATGTAATAAAGGTTTAATAACTTCATCCATTGTCTTGCGCCCAAAATTACATAATCGATAACTTGGATTTCTGAGTTCGCGATTTAGAACCAAAATGACCTTTCGAAATCAGCAGCTGTGATTATTTTGAGACTGAGAGAGAAACACAAAGGTAGGGTTCACAAAACTTCGTGTTAGTTAAACCATTAGTTACTACGGCTATTGGTTTACTCTAAATCATCTTTAGGCCGCCCCTGAGTTTCACACGCAGAAAAAAACTGATACCGTAGGGATCACCGAAAATTTGGTCAAGGTAAAGAAAATCTGGAGGAATCTGATTCTTCAGTTGACCCTTCACCTTGGGAATAGGTTCAAAAAGACGAAATAAAAATAAGGCAGGATGGAATGTCGGTAGTCGTTACGCTTCTACGATGGGGCTATTTCTGACGCCATGTTTTTATGAAGATAATTATGCAACACAGATTTCTATTTACAAGCCATTCGCAACGAGTGCTCTATTTTAAAGGCAAAGTCGACAGCAGCTATGTGGCAATCATAGCCAGTACTCTCCTGTTTCTTTCCAACAGTCCGACGTTCTACCGATTGAGCAATCGGGTCCATAAAATGGGAAAAGAGAAGGAAAGAGAAGAGAAGAGAAACAACAGTCATCGCCCGTAGCCTTTCTAGATGCTGCTCCAGAATTGTACAGATAAACAAATTGACACAAATGCCCGTGAATACAAAAGCAATTCTGAGAATACAATTCGGAGAAAACTTACCTTTATGGCATATCTTTTACGGTCGTTTAGTTCTGGTTCAGAACAAAATTTGAGGAAACTGCAGACATCCTTCGCCATCTGACTAACAGATGCCGGAGTACCTAAAAATTATAATCAATAATGAAAGAAAAATTTCTTCATGCGGTCACATGAAAATGTCATTCCTTCTTGCATACTTTCAGTAACACTGATTAGTGGTTTATATAGAAGAATTTTATGCATCGCAGCAGTACAAAATAGGTTAACTGAATATTAGTATTTGCATGCGTCGCTTGATTGTTGATTTAGAATTCAGTTAAAAATTTACCGTCACTGTATTCGATCATTTCATCGAAAAGCGCCGGCGCCATACCAATGGCTCCTCCAGAGGGAAAGTACGGATTGTAGTGCTGATCAGACTCTAAATGTATTCCAGCGGGTGCCTCAGTGTACCCTGTGAGCAGCATAAATATGTAGTCCTATCGTAAAGCGTTAAAGTAAACCAAGCAACGAACGGATCTACCTCTCCGCGATGTCGCGCCAAAGTGATCAACGACAGGTCAGGCGGATAAAGGCCATGATTCGCATTCCTCCCCACAACTTCGTTCGGATAAGGACTGGGCAGATAATCGTTCACAGTCCCCGGGCGCATGAACATTTGGCCCTGGTCATTTGGACCGTCCTGCACTCGGATCTAAAACAATGAAAAACTTAAAAACAAAACAATCATATCGAATCTGACACAAACGATAAATACGCAACAGAATTAACAAACAAATTGTTGATAAGTTCAGTGAAATTTGTGGTACAACGACAATAAACGCTGGCTGATACTTCCTCGTAATTGATGAGGATCACGTTCACCTAACCTCGATGCTCTTATTCTTTTGTCTCGTGCGGTTTACTGCCACAAGATTCCATATTTCTGTTTTATTATATCGTCCCCTATAACTTGGGTCTTTCAACTGCAGCTATTTTTGCACCAGTCTGTTACCGGTGTGAAAAACACTTCAAATCCATCGGTCACCTCAGATTGTGATGTGACCAGTTCATTGTCGGTTTCTTTCCTTAGAAACTGAAACAACGTCCTGTATTCCAGCGCGTCTTCTTATTTCTTCATTTTGCAGCACATCATTTACGTAAATTCACGGGATCTATTTTCTATCGCGTGCTCATGCATCCTTAACAGTTCTTCATCTGTTTTAGCTAATGTCCATGTCCTAAAACCATATACAACTAATGGCAAGCCCGTGCCCTCATACAATGCAATTTTAGCCGCAAATGATAACTGTTGGTTCTTAAACATGTCAGCGTTTGTTCTCCCGTCGCTCGAAGCCTTTTAGTGAATCCTCAGCCAAAGGAGTGGTCTGAGATAATATGATACAGTTTGGCGAATTCCTCAATTTAGAGGGTACATGGTAAGATACACAACTGTTTATTGAAACCGGTTAATATCTCGCTCTAAAACAATTCGTTGCAGGCAGCGTTCCAAAACCCTCAGGACTGTTTAAACTGGTGAATATTACGGCAAAAACACGGCATTACCTCGGCAGCTTCGTCCTTTGCTTCGTCAGCAGTAAGAAACACGTCTATGAAGTGCCGATAACGCAACTGCTTCATGCTGTGGCACGCACAGCATACTTGTTTGTACACCTGGTAGCCTCTTCTTAGCCTTCAATAAATCAGTCACAACAAGCGAACCAGTAAATGCAATATTACGATGCGGAGTCGTATCCGTGGAAGAGTCCGCTGTGAAACCATGGCAGATGAGGAATCGGTACGGCTAGAAAGCCGCTGGCGCTTACAGTCTTTTCCAATGCATAGAAGAGTCCCACGCCTCCGGCCGTCGTCAAGCCAACTACGTACAGTAACTGAAAAAAACGACAACTGACCAAGCAATCAACAATAAGCTGGGCGAACTTACCCATTGCCGAGAACGAACGCGGACCGCGGAAGTTTCGTTAAAGAGCTAAAAACATAACACGATGAGAATCCGTAAACGGTAATGTAAGGTAAATCATGTTCGTAATCAAATGAGAACATGAATTGACAATAAAATTGAATGAAAATAAATACACATAATAAAAATCAACCCCTTGTATTATGGGTTTAATAACATAATGTCAATTTACGAAAGAGCGTAAAGTAGAGTAAAATTCTACTGTCTCTTTTATGAGTTCGTATGGCAAAGTCGCTGTGTCCCTTTGTTTCTAGTAGCCTAGGCGACAGTCTAAGCAGGCTCGGGTCCATGGTACATTACTATAAAACAGCACTACTCTGTTGGATCGAACAAAAAAGGTTCGAATACTTACGGATTTACCTCAAAAAATCAAACAAAAAATCAACCTCAGCATTATGGATGTCCGTGTTGAAAAAAACGCACAGCTATCAAACGATCATCACCTTGTGGCTAACACTCTGCACCGAAAATGTCGGAGCATCATGCGAAGACCTGGCGGTAGAAGTAACCACAGAATCAAATGGGAAAAAATATCTTC